CATCGAATTTCCACGCGAGGAGGGCGGAGAGGGAAGGGGATCTAACGAGGCTAATCGGCCGCAAGGACGTCAATGATTTTCACTAGGCAGTAATTTAACTAATTGTCGTTGGGGGAGGAGGGAAGAAGGGAGGAGATGCGCGGCGAAAGGATGTCGGTTACGAACCGGCGAAGCCGCAGAGACGGTCGCCGTTGGATTACGAAACGAGGCTCGTTACTCGTCGTTAACGATCTGCTTTCATCCCTCCGCGTGACGAGTTCCCATAAACGTGACCCACCGGAAGGAACTCGACCGCCGTAGGAGGCGTGCACCATCGATCAGGAACAGCGGAAGCTCGGCAGAGGGGTTGTGTGCGCTACGCTTTCTATTATCGACGATGCCTCCTCCTCTCCGTCTCGATCTCTCCCTCCCCATCTCATCTGGCGGTCCACCTCCGCCCCCTCCTCCCCTCGTCCTCGCCAGATCGCAAACTAAGACCTCAAGGTGAGGAGGGGTGGATGAGTTTGCCGATCACGTCACCGTGGCTCGAAAACTTGACCGGCCTCGACGCCGCTACGTGCCATTTCTCGGGATACAGGCCGAGCTACTTGTAATTGATTTACACGGGCTCGCGATCGGCCGAGAAACGCCGCGAGTTTCCCCATGCGACCAACGTTTCCAACTTAAGCGGGGAGGGACGGACGTCTTCATTTAGGGAGACGACGCTCCCAACTACCGTCCGAAACCTTCGTTTGCCTGATTGACGAAGGAAGAGTTTGCGAGATCGAGGTCGAGATTTGGATTGGTTCCACCGATTCCATGTATTGGATTCCAACGTGAATTTCGGCAGAACGGAGAGAGATTCGAGGAGATTTGAGGGAGTTGGAATGGATTTTTCTGGATGAATGGTTGGAAAATGAATTAAAAAGAAAAAGGAGAGGGAAAGGTTATGAATTTTGAAATATTCGTGTATGGGATACAGGAGAAAGGGAACGAGATGAACCACTTTGATCTTCTCTAAATGAGGTGATATAAAAGAAAAAAGATATAAAGATTGATTATAGCCGATGATATAAATTTATACTGAAAAATATACGAGATTTAGATGCCACTTTTGAAGGAATTTTACTTGCCTTGTCACTTTCAATCTTTGCCATGTTTAGTTCCTTACTTCTTACTAGATAATGTATGAAGATAGGTGTTGGGATACGCGATTGATTTTACCTTTCAAGAGTGAGTAAGGCAAGAGTAGGCGAGGAAGATCGAGGATTAACAAACAGGATCGTGAGATTAAGGGGAAAGATACTACGCGTGGCACCCTTAATTGTTTTATAACGACGAACAACGTGGAACTTCTCTTCTTTCCCCTCTCGTTTAAATATTACACGTGTATTCGGAAACTTTATCCGTTTTCTTTCTATCGTTCAATTTTAATTTTCATTCCCAGTATTTTCGAGATATATTTCTTCTCGAAGAATTGTTGAACGGATAATCTAATTTTAAAGTTAATTAAACCCAAAGTATGTCTCTTACATAAATGAAGATATTTCGAAACAAATTTAAGCCAGTTCATTAAGTCTATTCCCTATTCATAACCAGAAGTGTGTTCTTTGGCGAAACGAGGGCAACCGGGGCTCAAACGAGAGAGAAACGCCACTCCTAATAAGAATTTCCACTGAACGTTCCAATGATTTATCACAAAAAAGCTTCCCCCCTCCTCCGTTCGATTCCAAATTGATGTCCTTTCATACAAAGGTATCTTCAATTACCCTCGATTTCCGCTCGTTTTGCATAGAAAGAAGCCCCGTTAAACACACGGCCCGTGCGGCACACAACGGCGCCGCGGATCGATTCGAAAATTCACCGCGATTTCAACGGGTTTTCATCGCGCAAGAATGGAGACGTTTATATACGGCGGCCGTATTCGCCGCCAGCTTCGCGTCGAATAATAGAATTCCGGTAGAATTCTCGTGAAATTGGAAAGAAACCGCGGTATGCAGAAATCGGCCCATTTTCCTCCGTTCCTTCGTTACCCCCGTTACAAAGTCGAGACGGAAAGATTCTCGATACGACCTATATATTTCAACGCGTCTCGATACATTTTCCACGACAAAAATTTCTCCTTGTCCAAGGTCTATCGAAATATCTCGCGAAGAGTTGGACAAATTCGCACGAGAGAATTCCTCGAATCATCCTTGTTGTTCTACCACGATCAGAATTTACGACAGAGAGAGAGAGAGAGAGAGAGAGAGAGAGAGAGGTGGAAACGTCAAAAAGCTGTGCTCGGTCAAAAGCAAGCTCCGCACCTCATCAATCCTTAAATCGGAAACGAAGTCGAGCCGTTTGCCGACCTATTTGGAGAACGTCCATCTTCCTTCTCGGTTATCTCCCTCCGCATTCGACGAATCACGACTCGATTTTCGACTTGGCCAAGATTTCTTCCCGGTCCAAGGATCGCGCGCCGCTATTCAAGGGTGGAAAAACCGAGCAGACGGGTTGGACGGTTGCCGGTTCTCGTAAGATATTCGTCGAATGGAACGCGGAGTTACGTTATCCTTGGATAAAGGGGGATTAGCGAGAGTTGTCTCCGCGCCAAAAGAGGCCAATACCCGTTACATCCGACCGATCCTTCGTCGCCTTTTACCCTTTCCCTTCTCTTCCTCTTTTCTCTCTCTCTCTTTCTTTCCCCTTTCGTCTCTGCTTTCGCTTAACCCCACGAGGCTTTTATCTCCATTGGACGCTTTTGTCTACTTGTTATCATTGTTATCGTTGCCTCGTGGTCGCGTCGCGCGAGCGGGGGATGTTGCTCGATCAAAAGTGCAAGTTGATGATGGAGAGGAATATGGATGGAGAATTGTACGAAGGGAGGAATCGTCGAAACGATCGGAAGATGTTTAAATAAGTTCTATTCACGAAATCTTTACCGATCGTAATGTTCAGACTCGCAACTTGAAATATCTCGAATCGGGGAAATAAAGATTTTTCGTATATTTCGTGGCTCGAATTCGCGCGTTTCCAAGATTGGTCCAGCAGATCGGTAAAGAAAATTCCGTCGCCTCGTAAAAATTAGGAGGAAAGCGATTCTAGAATCGAGGAAGGAGGGAAAACGGTCGATCGAGATCTCATCGTCCGGCAGATCTGTTTCATAGAATCGTAAACGTTTCCCGCGATGAATGTCGCCGGCACTTAAACCGGAGTAATGCAGTCAGCTGCCACTTGGGTTTCTCCTTTCCTCCGAACAAGTTAACTTCCGGACTTGGAACGTCTTCGTGAGATCCTCACTTTGACTATCAGCAAAGAGGATATCTTAGTCGGCATCTCGGGATTAAATGGAAGGGAAGATTGGCCATGGGATCCGACGGATGAAATGAATTTTCAATGGAGGCCGAGATCGAAGATCCTAAGCGAGAATAAGGATGAGAAACAGAGAGTCGGAAGCGGAACGAAAGGGGAGAAAGTAAAGGGAGGTAGAGTTAGGTATGCTGGGATAATCCTACTTCCGTCGAGATTTTTTTCTTTTTCTTCTTCTTTTTTTCCTTCCCCTCCTTCCCCTCCTTCTCTCTTCGTCCATCTCGATCTCCTCACCCCCTCACTCTCGCGATAAAATTAACAGAATTAATTCAGATTTCCACGGTTGTGCGGATCTCCTTTACGGAGATCGGGGACGGAAGGAAGATCGCGCCACGCCTCTAACTTGGAAAATGGAATTCGGGAGAAAAACACGCGCGCAAATTTGCGCGGTAAGAAAAGTTTTAATTGTTGCGCGAAAGTTGCTCTATTAATGGGGAACTACGTTTTGCGTTTATTAACGAGGGTACAAGTTAGCAGTGGGCGGTTTGCAGACAATCCGGTTCCAGTACAAGGTTTACCACTTATTAACTACAATATACTACAGACTGCGCTACAACAGGATACAAGTGAGTTTAATAACTTCAACATCCTTAATCGACTTTGCTGATTTCAACGTAGCCAGTAAACTCTCCAACAGATTTCAAATAATTTCAGCCAACTTATTAAACCGGTATACCGGCCAACCATCGAAGTATTATCTTACCAATCGCGCTAAAATTCGAGCATCCCTCTATATTCTTAAAAAGAAAAAAAAATCTCAGCGATAAACCATATTTCATCCATTTCCTCCTTCCACCCTTAACGCTCGTTCTGGCGTATTTTCAAGACCGGACGATCGCGAGGATTTTCTTCCCGAAACGCTTTCGCACTCTCTTCCTCTCTATGTGTATGTGCCGATGTAACGCGATTACCGAGCGAAATACTTTGCATGCAAATTCGGGCGGAATATGTTCTCGTAGGAGTTTTATAAACGAGCGTTTCCGTCACGACGACGACGACGACGACGACGACGAGGAGAAGGAGGAGGAAGAGAAGGAGGACGAAAGAGGAGCAGGGGATGGAAAACGCGACGAAGAAGAAAGGAGGGTAGCGTAGAACAGGGTAATAGGACGTAACGTTGGCCAAAGGTGGATCGTTTTTGTTGCTGGCAGTTAACCGCGGGCAATGAGGCAACAAACAACGCCGCAAGCCTTTCTCTCGCGCACCTTTTTCCCATGGAATTACACACTCATCCTCCTTTTTTTCTTTCCCCGCCATCACCCTTCCACTCTTCGCACTCGCCCCTTCCTTCTTTATTTTTTCCTTCTTCTTCTTCCTTTTCTCTACTTTCTTTTTATCTCCATTCTCCATCCCTCTCCGCCCCTCCTCTCTCGCTGACCTCCTCCTCTCCTCCTCGTAACACGCGCCGTTGGCCGTTCTTCGATTCGGCCGAGCCCCGCCGACACACATTATTTACATGCCTCGATGAAACTTTACCGCCGGTAAATACGGGTCGGACACGGAGGGGGAGGGAGGGGGTGGCGCG